AAGTATTCAAAGCATATGGATCATATTTTGTAAAGATATAGCAGTATTTCAGCCTCGTGATCATATAAATTATATTTATTCTGAAGTGGGGCTAAGATATCATATACTGTAGTAATACCTTAGATGTAAACCTTTTTTCATATAATACATGTCAACTACTTTAAATTATGTCTATATCTCGATACTTGTGTCATATAATAGAAAAACTTAGACTGAGATATTGTAGTACTTCAATACAGTACTTACTGAGGTCTCGAGTTATTTTTTTTATTTTTTTTAAAAAAAAAGAAAGTTAGTTAAATAAATGTTTATTATATACTTCGCATCTTTCATTTACTGATAGCTCTATAAAAAAGTATATATTATAGATCTAACAAAATCACATTAGATCTAATATAGTATTAAAATTGTATCTCTTAAATTTGATCACTATGACATTTACCTTTACCAGTTCTGACTAACTCATTGACAATCAATTCAAAGACACTGACGATTAATTTTTAGAAAAGTTTATTTTGTGGATAGTACAATTCATTGACAGCTTATTTCACAAACAAAGTAATTCTAGTTATTGTCATTAGAACTAGGCTTTAAACTAGAGTTAAAGTTAGTGTGTTTATAAAAAAACTTATTTGCTATTAGTGAATTATACTGTCTACCAAATGAACTTTACTGTAAATTAATTGTCAGTAAAATATAATATCTTTTGAAGTGAAATGAAATAATACAGATCTGGGCATTTACTGATATTAGATAGATACATATGTGAGCTTGTTCAGTAATAAAAATTTATATATGACATACGTATGTATATATGTATTCATATATAACTAGTATGTATACTGGTATGTACGTAACAGGTAATGAGAAAAGAAATTTTGTTAAGGTATTAACACAACATGTGCATAATATGTATACAGTATATAGTTATATTAACATTAATCGAATAATAAAATTTTAAATTACCTTTATATAGAACCATTGTAGTAGAAAGAGCCCAAACTTTACCGGAAATCAAAATTGAGTTTTTGTAAAATTCGAATAAATTTCGAGATAGGCTACATTTTTTGATTATGAAGGGAAACTGATTTGCTTAATAAAAAATTAAAATATATATAAAAAACTTTTAGAAGATTCATACATCATGAGATTATCTGATATAGCTAACCAATCAAATCTCTGAATTTTTGATTGACCCAGATCAGTCTGAACAAAACAAATACGATTTTCTCAAAATTATATATTTTTGTGTTTCAGCCCTTTCTACTGCAACGGCCCCATATAGTCACTATTTTTTTTATTTTACTATTATAGTGATTATATAAAGGTTTTTTAATATAGTCACACCTTTTTATAATCACCTAAATTTTGTATCTCAAACCAGTGATTATAACAAGATGTGACTGTATATTAATATAATATATCTTATGTAGAGAAGAGAAGAGGTACTTTATAGTAAATTGATATTATATAATATCTGTTATAGCCCTTATTGTATTTGAGATATATATTTTGATATATTTGTTATCTTGTTATACTAAATTTAAGAAGTAAATAATACTAATTGTTTTAATGTATATAATATTGATCTTTTAAAAAAAATAAACTAAAATAGCTACTTTTTACAAAATTTTTTTAAAAAAAGTATTAAAATAACAAAAATATATAAGGTTTTTTGTAAATTTTACAGTTATATAGTCTAGTTTTTTAGTTTTACTTAATATTCTTATCTAAAAACTTGTAGTAATATTATTTTTCAAATAACTTTTGGTTGAAATATCGAAAATAAAAAGGAGTTAGCTTTTTTCTACTTGCTGTTTTTAGAGACTTTTTTAATTTAAATACTAAATACACAAGAGAGTCTATCTAAAAACAGAACAAAAGCTTAATTTCTATGTAAACTATTTACAATATTTATACCTCAGTATATTATAGTTAAAAATTTTATCAACAACAGTTTGTAAAGAAAAAGCATAATTCAAGTTATAAACTATTTTTTGTTATATATCTGCTCTTCAGTATTTCATATACTGTATATAAGTTTTATTGATAGCAAGATTGCTTGTATAGTACAAGAGTATTATTATATTTACTTTATTATTTTCTATATCATTTTGCTATAGTTTAGTTTTTTTTTGTTGTTAATCAGAAAAGAGTTGTTGAATATAAATTATATTTTGTTTAGATCAATTTATCTATGATTTAAATCTACCAGAGCAGTTTATATATATCTAATATATTATACATTATCTAGATTTAAACTGTATTAAGGAGTGTGGTGATATAGAGTAGTGGTTAAGTTGTTACTCTCAAGTAGCAGGTCTAGAGTTTGATTCCTATCGAAGACGTTTTTCAAAAAATAGACCTGTGTTCTAGTAACATTTATTTAACAATCAGTTGGGTATATCATCTATAATATTGATACTACTATCTTAAAATAGAAGCTTTAGAGCGATTTAGATCCAAGAAACCAAAATAATTGAAATCTGTTTGGCAAGACCCAAGCTAGAAGTAGCAAAGATCTTTGACAATATTATAGAAAACCAGAACCAAAGACTGAAGAACTAGACGAATAACCCTAAGGCAAGAAGGGTTTGCCAACCTAACCGCTAAAGTCATATTAGAGAAAAAGATCCTATACTATAGAATTAGGAACCGAGAAAAGTAAAACCAGAAGATACTTAGAGTCTAAATACAACAACCTATCTGGGCTAACTGGTTTGGTAGTCAGAGAGAAATCAGTATAAGGACTAGTTAAAAGTAGATATCAGGATCAAACCGAATTTTGTAAAAACAAAAAGTAGATAATGGTAAAGATAATAAAGACTACAAGTACCAGTTTTCAGATTGGGGAGTAAGTTATCAAAAAATCTAGGTGATACATATGTAGAGTATAGACTATTCTGATAGGTTTATCATGAGAATAAAGTAGTCCTAAGGGACCTTAGTAGCAGGAATTTTTTCAAGAAAAATATCTGATAATACTAAGACAATCAGAGAGTTTAAATAAAAGATCCACAAGTGAATCTTAGATATGGCAATTGGTAGATAACTATAGATAGAAATAGATATAGTAGAGCTCTTAATTAGACAATAACTAAAATTGTACATATGACCAATTGTACTCTCATTAATATAACAAAGTCAAGGGGTATCTATTCAGTATTTTGATATTTGAACCATGAAGTTAATAAACTATACCAGACCCCAAGTAGTCACTTTAATATATAAAAAAAAATAAATAAAAAAAGATTTAAGCTATATTATCTAATTATTTTTATAGCTATTTTATATATTTCTCATATTACTCACTATATTTTATATAACTCCCAAATTGGTATTATTTATTGAATAATTATTTTTTTTTTTTTAGTAGTACTGCTAGTTTGGTATATTTATTATTTATTAAAAGAATTCATTTTTTATTTTTTAAATTTAGAGTATAGTTTTAAAAAAATTAAGATTAGATTTTGGAATTCTGAAATAAATATCTTAGCAAATTCTTGATAAAAAGTAATTTTTTTAATCAAATTTAATAAAATTTATTTTATTTTTTTATCTAACAATCTTGTTTCTGTTTATTCAAAACCAACTATTTAATAAATTATATTAGGGATGATGCTAAAATTGGATAATACTAAAATTTGAGGCCTAAAGTTAAAAAATAAACCTACTAAAATCTGCTTATACTCTTTTATTATAAACACTAACTTTAAATTCTAATCAAACTATGAAAAAAAAGCTAATTTTATATTTTTATAATAAAATAAATCAAAATTTTAGCATCATTCCAACAAATTAGATATTATAATTTTTATTTATAATTATAAGATTTTTACTAAACAAAAGACTTATTTAGCTTTTATCTAATATGATCTGCCTCAGTAATTCTTGACCTCTTTTCAAATTCTTAACTTACTAAGGATTTTTTTTTTGATTAATAGCTAACAACTACATATCTTGTTACAACTACCTAATTATATTTATAATCTACAACATAATTATGTTTTGACTAAAACTAGTACTTACAAACAATGCTAAGTATTAAATCACTAATCTTCTAATAAGATTATTATATTATATATAATCTATTTTACTATTTTTATTTATTCTACTACTAACCACTATCAACTATTGATATAGCGAAAATCTGGGCTGGCCAAAAAATTCTGTTATATAGCATATTCGTTATACCTATATAACCTATTACCGGAATTAATAACAGAATTAGGTTTGATTCCATTATAATGATAGCGATAGTTAAAAAAAAAAAAAAAAAAAAATTTTTTTTTTTGCTCTCTGATTGGTCGTAAGTTGTTGCATTATATTGAATCCGTAATATAGGTTAGAACTTTATAATAAGATTGGTATATGGGCTGGCAAAGATTCCCATTATACGTAATATGGCTTTTTTTTACTATTAAATCCATTATAACGGTTTAAATTATATACGTATTAAAAATTCTGTATATACTTTGTAATTGATCCGTTAAACTGGTGATTCCGGTCTAAAGGTGTCCGTTATATCGATAGTTGACAGTAGTAATCTTATAAAACTATATTAACTCTATATATATATTATATATCAAAATTTTATTATTATAAAGAGTTAAAGCATTTTAAAAATTGAAATTTTATATAGGGTAATTCTGACTTAAATAGTTCCTAATACTGTATCGATTTGTTCCTAATACTGTATCAATTTTAATTAACTAAATATGAAATAAATTTAATAGATCAAAATGACCCTCAGCAAAATTTTAGGGTTAGTGCGGGCTAGAATTATGTTGATGCCGGCAGGGTGTTTTTTTAATATAAAAACCCGACCGGCATTAACATAATTCTGACCCTAATTCTAGGAAGCGTCATTTTGACCCGGGTCAAAATAGAAATTCCCTTTTATATATGCTGTAAATTTATAAATTTATATAAAAAATTTTAATTTTTAAAGTTTATAATATTTGATTATCAAATTCTATACTGTTAGGATTTTGTACCAGTCAGAATTTTAGTGTTTCAAGATGTTGTCTTTCGGACATCTCAAGATTTTGTCTATCGGGGGCCATGCAAAATCCTGATGGTACATAATCCCAACAGACAAAATCTTGAGATGGTGCATATCCCGAGGACTGAGGCTTGACCGATTTAAAGTTAGGGCTGGCCGATTTGTTCGTTAATATTTCCCTATTTAAGCTTTTGTCAATTCTATCATTTATATCTATATAGTATTCAAATGATATATTGACCCATATTTAACGAAATAGCTTACAAATTAAAGGATAAAAATAAAGAATAAAAATATTAAAGCTACAAATATTACAGTATTTGATTTTAATTTGACCAAACGGATTTCCTGCAAATCAATCAGTAAAACAATTTTGTATTTAGGCAATCAGTCAGTAAAACAAATCTGTATTTAGTAAACAGTAATATATAGTACGTAACAAAACGATTAAAATAGATTATAATCTGATTGCGGTTTTAAGGGA